TAATGGTGAAACCCAACCAATAATAATCCCTATGCTACATTATAACCTATAACATCCTAAACACAAACAGCATGAGCAGCCTAATTACTAGAATTCATGGACAAAACTATACAATGAGCACTTCTCTCAGGATGCATACCGCTTGTGTTACATTTAAAACTAATCATGAAAATGCAAACTAAACGCTTGCAGCTACTAATTACAAAAGAGGAAAAGATGAAAAGAATTTTGACTGATTAATACAAGCAGAAGGAACATTGGCAAAGAACATGTCAATGTTGCAGGACAGTGAATGGTTCGTGCAGCAAATTTAAAAGAAAAAAAAACCAAACACCCAAATAGTCTTTAAAAATTTCAGAAAGTTGTCTGGCTTTCTTTATTTAATTTCTTTCCTCCCTTTTCCCCATTGTGTATTACTCTGTCTAATGATGTTGTAATGTATCATAACACATCCATGCAAGGCGCCTTGTTGTGGAAGGCGCTATATAAAAATAAATTGAAATTGAAAAAAATTCCCTTATGAATTTAAGGTGGGAGTAGCTGACATTACCTAGCTATTTACTAAATTAGCAAACACTCTGCTATGGTAACTAGTATGCCATAGATAAACTATTCATTTATCATACTACCTCTGTCTTTTTCCCATTTTACCTCCTCTTTTCCCACTTTTCTTTTTCCCTGGGTGTCAGGCGGCTTTGGTCTTGACATGACAATATTTTTTAATTTAGCTGCTACTTAGGTTCGTAGTCTCCTGCATATGACGTTTCACGGTCAGTGAATCACAGCATGTCTAACCAAACTAAGCACAATATAACCGCCTACTTAAAAAAGTTTACAAACTCAGAAAACAACAAATGAAGTTAAAAAGAAATACTAATGGATCCGTGGACAAATAAAGAGATCCACATTTTAATTGGAGTCTGGTTGGAAGAACAGTACAAGATCAAGATGGCATGACAATAAATAAAAAAAAAATGATATACTTTGTACTAAGGCAGTATGGTATTGGAAAATGTGATTTTGTTGTAATATTGGGACATTTGTAAAATACAAAAAATTGAGTTCAGCATAAATTTCTCAAAAACCTACCTAGGAGTGATTTAATTAAACAGCAAAGATGAAAATGATTATGATTGTCCCGGTGAAGGCATGCAGCAGAGGTAAACTTTAAAATGATTTTTAAACATATAATAGATAATCTAGAAAAGGAATAATCATTAAATTGCAAAGCTTGCTAAGTTTTTTTTTCATATGAAAGAGTAAAAATGTTTTAGAAAAAATTAAACCCCCTTGCGCTGTAGCATCTGTACAGTATAATAGTATGAAAAAGCCCGATCATGATCTAGCAGACTAGCGATGTAAGAATTGCACGTACATAACATGTGATGTTGATATTAATGTCACACATCATCCCGCCATATAACATACTACAGCCATTTTTCAAATTCAGTACAAAATACCCCGGTTTATGTTGTGATGTCATTCAGCGCCAGTACCAGTTTTTATGCCAATGCTGTACTTTTGGTACTTTCTTAAGTGCGTGACCAACTTTTCAAAATCATCCATCCATCCATCCATCCATCCATCAATTTCTATCCAACGCAGTATCAAAGCTTCTATGTGGAAGCAGAGTCAGGTACATTGGGGGAGGGGGTCCTGGGGACCCCAGATTGCTGATCCATAGGAAGAGTACTGACAACTACACACTGGCATACAGTAGCATTAAAAAGCAGCCTGCTGCCTGTTTTCTGCAGTCAGTATGGTCTCGATATGCTAGGACTGGCAGACTTGTAAAAAGAGCAGTATAGGCCTATTGGTTGAAGAATATTCATTTGTGAACACATCACACATCGTCAAACCACTGGAAATCCACTGTTATTTGTACTGTATTACCGAATAAAAGAATGCCACTTAGTCGCAAAGATCCTGTAAGTGTAAATGAAAAGTGATGAATGTACATATCCATGTCTATGTGTGTGACTCACTGGATCGTGTCCTTCCTTCTCTGAAACACTGCTCACCTGACAGCCACCCCCGCAAGCACTGAGTCATTACTTCATTATTTAAGTTGCGTGTGTTTCTCTGCATTGGGCTGAAGGTGGCTTGACTGATACACAGCTTGTCATGATCTCATGGTCTGATTTCATCAGCAAGCACAGAAAGAAAAAAGAAATTTCATTGGCTTCAACAAAATGGCTTATTTAAGGTTTATGTACTTTAATCCATCCATCTATCTGTGCTGTGACTGATGTCCTGTAATGTCTGTGCAGACGGTCTGTGCTGTTACTGATGTCCTTCTGTAATTTGTGTAGAGGCGGTCTGTGCTGTTACTGATGTCCTGTAATGTGTGTGGAGACGGTCTGTGCTGTTACTGATGTCCTTCTGTAATGTGTGTGGAAATGGTCTGTGCTGTTACCGACACATCAGTTTAAAGCTAGTAAGGTGTGAGCATTGTCTATGCCTAGGACTCTCTCTCTTTCTCTCTCAAACACAAACACACACATTTGTATTTATGTCTTTGTGGGGACTGTCTATTCATTTCTATAGGAAAACCCCTACTGCCAACAATGACAACCTTCACCCCTACTCAACCCTAACCTTAACCGTAAGTAACCAAACTGAATACAAGACTTTTGGCATGTTATTTTTTTGATTGCAGTCACAGACTTTTATAAAATTTAATTTCCCCTTGTGTGGACTAAAAAAAATTCCAAATTACGGTCAAATTAAATGCTTTTTTATACACACATACACACAAAAAGGCAAGGACACATACACAAACAGACACACAGGTGTGGACACACATACATTGATGGATGCACTCACATAGGCATGGATACATATATAGATAGATTGTCAAGTAAACATACCAATCACTCATATATCTTTTTGGCACTAATTCTAATGTTAATACAATGTTTCTTAACCCAGTTTTCAAAAAAAGTGTGATTTTGTTATATCCCTCAGGAAAATTATCCAATCATCCATCCATCCATTTTCTGTATCCGCTTGTCCTATGTATGATCATGCATGTCTGGAACCTTTCCTGGAAGTTATGGGTGCAAGATAGGAATAACCGAGGGTGGGGTACCAACTCACCGCAGGGCATTGCGCTTACGTTGCACTGGCTGTGTTAGCAAAGCTGGAGTCGTCTTCTGCTGTACCATGCTGAAGGTGTGGTCAAAGGTAGAGGGTTCTTCTGCTGTATCATGCTGAAAGTGGGATCAAAGGTAGTGTCTTCTTCTGCTATTCCATGATGTAGGTGGAGTCAAAGGTGAAGGCTTCTTCTGATGTACCATGCTGAAGGTGAGGTCAAATGTGGAGGCTTCTGCTCTACCATGCTGAAGGTGGGGTCAAAGGTAGAGGGTTCTTCTGCTGTATCATACTGAAAGTGGGGTCAAAGGTGGTGTCTTCTGCTATTCCATGATGTAGGTGGAGTCAAAGGTGGAGGCTTCTTCTGATGTACCATGCTGAATGTGGGGTCAAAAGTAGAGGCTTCTTCTGCTGTATTATGCTGAAAGTGGGGTCAAAGGTGGAGGCTTCTTCTGCTGTACCATGCTGAAGGTGGGGTCAAAGATGGAGGCTTCTTCTGTTGTAATATGCTGAAGGTGGGGTCAAAGGTAGAAGCTTCTTCTGCTGTATCATGCTATAAGTGGGGTCAAAGGTGGTGTCTTCTGCTTTACCATGCTGAAGATGTGGGTCAAAGGTGGAGGGTTCTGCTGCTACACCATGCTGAAGGTGGGGTCTTCTTCTGCTGTACCATGCTGAAGGTGGGGTCAAAGATGGAGGCTTCTTCTGTTGTAATATGCTGAAGGTGGGGTCAAAGGTAGAAGCTTCTTCTGCTGTATCATGCTATAAGTGGGGTCAAAGGTGGTGTCTTCTGCTTTACCATGCTGAAGATGTGGGTCAAAGGTGGAGGGTTCTGCTGCTACACCATGCTGAAGGTGGGGTCTTCTTCTGCTGTACCATGCTGAAGGTGGTGTCAAAACTGGAGTCATCTTCTGCTGCACCATGCTGAAGGTGGGGTCTTCTTCTGCTGTACCATGCTGAAGGTGGTGTCAAAACTGGAGTCATCTTCTGCTGCACCATGCTGACGGTGGGGACA